CCTCTGTCCCTAGAGACGGCCCGTCTTCTCCACACGCCAGTCCAAGCTGGCTCTCTGACTTTGCTTCTTTAAATAGTGCACACCACGAACGAAATGAGCTAAATCTTCGGATATGCAGCAATGTTGGAGCTACTTACGAATCGGCTTATAGCCTAGACCGGAGTCACGACGTGTGTCCGCTGGTTGGCTAGCTGTATCAATCTACCTTCTGCTTCTTATCCCAGCCCCTTAGGAGGCAACGCGCCAGCAAGAACAAGTACATCGACCAACTCACTACTCGACGCCCTGTGTATCCCGTGCAGTCAATAGTATTAATATTTCTCCGACTCGGGATAGAGTTCTGCAAGAGAGAGTCGACGTCTGCCTGTATGTTCCACAGCTCGTGAAACGACCAAATGCGAGGTCGAAGAGCAAGGGTGCTGTGGACTGAAAAAAATAATAATAAAGAACAGAAAATAAATAAATAAAAAATAATAAAAATAAAACGAGAAAAGATCGATCAGGAGAAAAGGCCGTGACTGTGGAAAAAGCCTCCGCCGTAATGCTGTACATGCATGCATCTCCGATTAATGCTGGATGCCGGTCAGGGCGGTTGGGAAAACGAGGAATTGCGGCTTACAGCAAGGCATCCTGCTTGGATGGTTGGTGGTTGGGGAGATGAGGCTGGTTTTTGGTGATTTAGGCACGCCTGAGGAAAAGGCTGCCAGCTTTTGCTACCCCGTATTTATTGATATTAAACCTACCGTCAAGGTGGCTCAGCACCGCAATACAGCTGTTCGTCCTGATATGAGGCCACGAGTAAGTGGTAATTAGCTGGTTGGTTTCATGCATCTACATGGAAACTAACTAACTGGTTAACTAGCACAGCTTGGGGGGGGGGGGGTGGGGGGGGGGGCACATTCTGTAGACCAGCCAGTTGGTTGATACACTAGTTAACTGCCCCGGGCGTCCTACTACTTAACCAAATGACTAGCCGCCTGGTTAACTGTAGTCAGTTAACTGGTCGATGGCTGAATAACTAACTGGACGGCCAGCCAGATCTTTTGGACCCTGCAACAGTTCCAGCGCATGTCCGCGGATCTTCTGAGGGAGATATCAGCCTCTATACCCATTCCGGCTGGCCATGGATAGGACAAGGCTTCTCTCTTGGTTCGCCTTCTTGGTCATGATTGACTCGGGGCGGTCTTCCCGTTGAGCAGGATGTTCAGCCTTCCGGCTAACCTTTCTGTTTTTTTTATTTTTTATTTTTTTTATTTGCTCGACCAGGGTGCTCCGTATACATCTGCTTGATGCCTCTAGATCTATATATAGGATCGCCATTGATCATCTGGAGTCGGCCCATATGTACGTGTGTAGGTATATATATTCCTTGGCCCATCCTCTGTCTCATCATCCTATGAAGACAAATATTCACAATTGCTATTCCTCCATACATTACTCGTTCACATCGCCCCAAGCATCATCGTCCAGTAGCCCATCCTGTCAGCCAGCCGGTTACAGGCCCAGATAACCAACTAGCTACTCAAAGAACAGCTGTTCAGCGTTGGGATACCACCATGGCCGACTACCAAAACAACCAACCCCCTCACTGCCAGGAATCATATGTATCAAAGTTCTCCGTCAGGAGTGCATTTAGCCCCCATGCTCACCCGAATGAGGATTGGACAAAGATATCCGATCTTGCGGAGAGACGTCGGATCCAGAACAGAATCGCTCAACGGAATTACCGTGAGACCTCTCTCTTCCGTCAACGTCAACACATTTGATTCGAATAACTGGGTTGATTTGCTAACGGGCCTAACCACAGGCAAGAAGCTAAAGAAGAGGCAGGAGGACCAGCTCAGGCAGACAACCTCTTCTCCTGAACACTCGCCTGACGAGAGCAGTTCGGTCAGGGATGAACCCTACGCAGCTGAATCTGAGAGCATCGAACAACACACAGCCCGGTCACTGAAGCCTGTTCTACGGCCGAGACTGTCGTCAAGCTCGCCCCCTACCAACTTTCAACTGACGCAGGAATCACCACCACCTCTCTATTCTCAGTCGTATGAAAGCGTCAGCTCTATATCCTCGGCTCCCATGGTCACGTATTCTCCCTATAGCACATATTCAGATGGATCTATATCTGCGTCATACTCCTGTGCTCCTCTACCAGGGGTAATACCGGATATCTATGGTGGCCAGGGCCAGCGGCTGGGGTTCGATGGCCCAGAGTCTTCAATATCTTCCCCATACTTTGTATCCCCCAGACCAGAAAGATACTGCGGCATTGACGTGGATTACCTTACCTCGTCCGATTTGGCAGTCACTTCCACCGCAACGATCGCGGCAACCATGTCTCCATACATGAAGATGTCGGACCCGATGTACCATTACGACTACTCAGACCTGTACCCAATTTCTACCGCTCCGGGGAGCAGCTCAACGTCGCAACGATACTAAGTCTTTTGAGAAGCACTGGTATCACTTTTTAATGCCGTCATGATCAGCCTTGTTGTTAAAGTTAAAGTTCCCTTTTTTTTTTTTTTTTTTTTTTTTAACGGATTGGTTCATCGGTGTCTACCAGGCAGAGAGCTGCTGGCCACCATGGAGATATGTTCTTTTCATCAATTATTCTTTTTTTTTTTGTCTCCATCTTTGCCCAGCTTGTACATAGTTACATATCCCCAGTATAGAAGTTAGTTCGCATTGAAACTCTGTCTCCGGCCCATACGCAGCGATCACGAGGATCAACCTTCGGATCAAGGAGCTCAGCAGCCAAGCAGCTCACTAGATCATGTCGTTGTATTGATACCCGAAAGCTAAAAGTTGAGCGCGGGCCGATGTGTACCACCAACTAGGAACAGTATCCGGCGGGGAGAACTGGCTTTTTTGCGAACACCAAGGCTAAGTAAGCATTGCGGTCCAGATTCAAGCTAATTAAAGCTGTAGCCAAGATGGAACGATGCAGACGAAGGGTTCAGGCTACAGGATGTTTGGTGATTGAAACGCCACAAAGGCGCAATGTTTGAAAGATTGGCACGTAATCACTCATTCAATACCACCCTCCAACGTCATCAGGACCATCGTCACTTGGAGGTAACTAAAACTACCTTACGGCGCACACAGCTGAACTGCCAGCCCGGAAAAAAAAGGGTGCTCGAGCTGCTTCATGGGTGGCATTGACCCAGTAAAGCCAGCACTTCCCCGAAGCAGACGCCAGTACCTCCTGCTCCTTGCTTGACTCCAACAGCAACACCGGCATCCTCCCCCCAAGGTGAGCTTGTAAATGCACTATTTTAGTCTCATGTGATTCAATCCAGGTGGTTCGTGCTGACTAGGAACTATCAGGGATGTTCCAAGTACCCTGGAGTTGGTTTGCATGACTTTCTCGTATATATAGTCGCCTCGACCTTTCAAGCCATGAAAGCTCCCACTGAAAGCCAAAGGCTTGGTGTACTGTATGGGGTGATTTGAAGAAATGAAAACTGCAGACGGGGATTATGTCCGGTTGACCTAGCCTAGGTCCGATATGATAGCGCGGTTGTATCGAGGTTGAAGCGTAAGGATTCCCTTGCAGCAATCGTCACTTCAGTTCGACCATACATGATAGCAAAGAGTGAATTATGAGTTTGAGAATACGAAACCTGGCTCCTCCAGTTCCGCCCTTGTACTCCATACATGGTTGAGGTACCAATATTTTGACTTTGATGGGTTTTACCTCGTTATGGAAACTTGAAACTTCACTCAGATGGAGATGCGGTGAGATCCCCCTCCCTTGCATCTGAGGTACCCGCTAGCGAGCTCTTTCCATTGAATCCCGCTCCATCAGGCATTATAGAAAACAGGGGTGCGGAACCAGTTGACCCATCAGACGCAACACGTATGCCTGTCCTGAGAACGTCGTGACTTATCGACAACCAGATATTCCTTCCGCGTTTCATCGGCTCCCTTCCATAGTGTGTGACAGGCGTCTGATGTGCACACAGCCAGGAACATCGTATTCAAAGTGCACAGCATAGCCGGATTAACTAACCGTCAAAACTCTGGCTGCTGAGTCGCAGACTTACGCTTAGATTGGGTGAGCATGATTCACCGCGCATGAATGGTGAGTGTTTTCAGCAGAATTGGTCGTGACAATAGCATTTTTATGCATATCTTTTAATTTATCTAAAAATAGACCTGGAGCCGCCTGGTTGGTTAACTTCTTTATCGTCATGACTAACTAACTAACTGTTGGTTGGAGCAGAGTCAGGATGCTAAAAATAACAACACATCCCCGGAAACCTTGGCGCGCTAGTTAAGTTAACTAGTCAGCCATTCATGGGCGTCGGCTTCCGGCCTGCTCCAGATCTCATCTTCAGGGATGGCCAGCGACAGGCCACTCAGGTTGCAGGCAAAAGCGCCAACGTGGCAGACTTGTTCGTATACTTGTCCAGTATCCTTGGATAGCACACCGAGGGCTCCGTAGAGTTTTTTTGGAGGGTCGTCAAGAATTGAACCTGAACCCCCCACGCGCGAGACAACAAAACTGACCCCGAACGGCCTGTTGCTTAGAGCTTCGTCTCGTTAAGGCGTGTGAGCTTCGGAGACTCCATTGGGAACGGCCACGGATAATATATTGCAATTGCAAACTTGACTGACAGGGACCAAATGATTGTAAGCGTACTGCTGTGTTATTCGTTAGACTATTTTTATCGACTGTCTATCTGTACCGACTGGCTGTAACTGAGTCTGAAATATCCCTCCCGTAAAGCAACAAGAAATCAAATCGCCTAACTACTCAAATATCTATCCCATCTGTCTATATGACGGGAAATCTATTAGCAATACGCCATAGCTCATAAGAAAGAACGAGAAAAGAAGAAAGCACGCTAAGCCGCGGATCTTATTCCCCGCTCAAAGGTGACAGGCACTGGTGGCCGTAGCCTAGAGGAGGCTTTTTACACTTTGACACTACAATCGTATGAGTTAGTTTCATCGTCAAGGCTCTAAGGGGAAGGGTTTCAGGGATATAATAGTTACCTCCATTCGTGCTCAACCTCACCATACTGGATTTCCTCAATCCAGTTCTTCATCTCAAGAGCGACCTGGCCAGCCTCCTCATTCGGCTTCAAGCCACACTCGATCTTTTGTCCTTTCCAGCTGATATCACGGACAGGGCTGACAATGGCAGCGGTACCAGCACCGAAGACCTCGATGAGTCTGCCATCCTTTGCTGCCTGAGAAATCTCCTTCATGGTGACTTTGCGCTCAGACACACCCCACCCTCTTGGGACAAGTCTCTCCCTTGCCAAAGCCAGGACAGAGTCTCTGGTCACACCTTCGAGGATAGTTCCATCCAATGGAGGGGTCAAAAGCTCGCTTTTGCCAGTTTCCTTGTTCTTCATGGCGATGAACAAATTCATAGTACCGACTTCGGTGACATACTCTTCCTCACCGAAGAGCCAGAGATTCTGCTGGAAGCCACGAGTTCCAGCTTCCATCTGTGGGACAATGCAAGGGGCATAGTTTGCACCCAGTTTCTTGTCACCGACACCACCTGGCCATGCACGAACAGCATAATCAGTGGCTTCAAGGGAAACTGCCTTGAAGCCGGTGGGGTAGTATGGACCAACAGGGCTGGCAATTACAAAAAGAAGAGCGGAACCGGGAGCAGCAACTCCGAGAGACTCCTGCGTTCCAATAACGGTTGGCCTCAGGTAGAGAGAGTAGCCCCGCTCGCTGGCAGAGTGACCAGGTTAGCAAGGAAACCATACATAGGGCGTGGAAACTCAAAAGTTAAAAAAATAGACGTAACGGAACTC